ACTAGTACATTTACATTATTAAGGCGGTCAGACGTTAACTTGTTGTCAGCCAAATTAATTTCACGTTCCAGCAGGAAGTGGGCTGTGTACCCCAGACCCTTAATAATATTTAGGTCAAATGGTATTTGATCTACAACAATGGCTTGGATAGCCTTGACATGACTACCTAGATGTACAAGCGGTTGAACTACTGAGTATTCTTGGGGTCCTCAATTTATCATAAACCCTGACAGGTTTAATTTTACCTGTCTGATTGGTTGTAAATTGAGTGCCTCTGCCGCTTTCTGAGTAATGAAAGTTCTCTGGGACCCTTGATCAAATAGTCCCCGAGTGTGATCTTGGTCCCTTTATTCTTTACTTGCAGTTGGGCAGTGGGCAAGGTTGCATCCACTTGAGATGCCGGTGAAATTACGCTGTAAACATCTCTCACCTTGCAGGACTGTACATGTGTAGATTGTCTACTTCCTATTCTAGGACTAATATAATTTGTCTTGACAAATTTGCACAGTGGAGCATGATGCTTGCCCCTTCTACACCTATTGCAGGTGTTCAGTGGGGTGTCACAGCTATTAACATTATGTGATTTGAGACACCTAGTACATTTGTGTAACTGTTTGAGTCGTCTGACTTTTGTGTATCTATTAGGATAATTAGTACATTTGTTCAGAGAATGTTTTTGATTGCAAAACAAACATAATCCCCATCCTACAGCTCATTTAGGGAAAACCTTTTTAGGTGAAACTGCAACTGCAGGTTGTGATGGTTTTGCTGCTTGCATTTGCTTATTATTTATTCTCTTGTGAGTACTTGGCGTACTCTTAGGTCTTACTGATGAATCGGTATTTGACCTGTTGTTATTACATTGATTATTAGTACCTTTATTACCTAATGACAGTGTCACTTTAGGAGTTTCAGGTAAGGAAACTGATGTGGGTACAGTTTCTGTGCATTCAGAAGATTTATTAAATGCCTGGCTTGCTGATGGATTGCTTATATTGCGCAAACCTGCAAATATATCCTGCATTGACAGGACATTACCATTCTGGTATAAATACAATTTATTAAGTACCTCACCAGACAATTTTCTCTGGATGATAATTTTAGTCATCCACTCAGCAGTTGGGTGATCCACCTCTTTACTGAAGGAATTTAACAGTGACTCAAGCTGAAAACTAAAATCTTGTAAAGAGTCAACTGATTGTTCTGGTGGAGATAAATCTAGTAATTGGTGTACAAAGTTTATAACAGTCTTCTCATTGTTAGCACTTGCTCTAGAAGGCTGGTGTGAGTAATTATGACTTATTACTTGTGTTTCTTAAGGCTTCTTGCTTAGCCTCAGCTTTAATTACAGCTTCAGCTTTTTCATTTTCTGGTTCAAATTCACTGGCTGTTGCAGCTTTACTTGAAGTTTCATCTGCAGCTTCACTTATTTCTCTGGGTTCCTGTCAGAAGCTGGTCAATTCAGTAGCCTCATGCATTGAATTTGTACAATCTAGGGAATATTGAGAAGAGCTGTCTGAAAATTGATCAGACTCTGTAAATGAATTATTACGTGAAGTTGTATTAGATGAGATTGTAGAAAATGAAGGTTGAACTTCAGTTGTTGATCCTATGTGGGGATCAGTATTGATTAGAGAATTATCCTCATTTTGAGGTAGCTCATGTATTTCATCTGAGCTGGGTGCTTGCTTGGGTATAGGTCTAGTATAAAAATCTTTTAACCAATCAGGAACATTTTGTGTTGCAAGCACTTGGTTATAGTGTCTTGAATTGTTTTGTCTAACTTGTCTTGAATTATATCTTCATAGTTGGCAAGGTCAGATTCTATCAAACTCAATTCATCTGGGTCAGTATTACTGACAAGGAGTATATTCCTATAAGACTATTGTATCCTTTACTTGGTCATATTTTTGGCTAGCCACCTTTGTGGAAATTCTTAGCCTGAAGATGTCAACTGAATCAGTTCCTAAACAGTTGTCACATTTGTCAAGTAGTCTTGACAGGTGATTTTGAAAACCTTTCAAGGTTCTTCTAGTTTTTTTCTAGAGTAGCCATTCTGGCTGTAAGTTTGAGCCTTATAGGGCTTATATAGCTACTTGGACAGCAATGGTACTTGCTAATATATGTAGAGCAGGTATAATTATTGACAACCTGATATTTCCTTGAGGCTGATTGTAATATACCTTATTTTGAGGTTAGCTGCCTACCTAATAATAACCAACTAAGATTTGAGTAATACTGTACTTTGGTATCACTACAGGAGTTCCTCAGCTTAGCCCTTCAAAATCAGCCTTGGATGGGTAGTGACACTTTCAGTAACGCTCAAAGATGTACATAGAAATATGTAATAAAATATAATTACACAATAAATGGTTTATATCCCACCCTAATTAGGGTCAGCACTACATAAAATAATAATACACCAGCACTGTCTAACACAGTACTAGTTAGGTAATAATCCTATCTATTAATGTAGCTAATGGTGTAGACTGAATTTGTACAAATCTTAGTACCGTAGCAGTCTAAAATTATCCTACTTCTGTTGGGTTGGCATAACTACAATAAATGTGGTGCAATAATGTGTAAAATAGTGCTATGTTTTTGGATTTTGTAATTTTATATAATATATACACTTGTAAGAAATGTGTATGGGAAATTTAATGAGCACAAGATTATTAATTGTGTTTGGCAAGTATTCTACTGCAGTAAATAATGTTTAACACCTGAATGTACTTCCTAATTGTGGAATATAAAGTTATCAGGGTTAGTAATGATTAATTGATTTTTGGGATCAGTAATTTGGATTAGTATACTGGATCCTAAAATGTTAATGAATTCATTGACTTGAGTGAATCAGTAATTATAGATTGAATTTGGTTTAGGTTATAATGGACAGTCTGCTGACAGCCGTACATTGAAATACTGTATTTGTATAGCCCAATAATGGTAACACATTAATTGGTGTGGGTTAGGCTAACATATGTGGTACACTGCTGGTAACCACAGTTAATGAAATATATTTAACTTAAGTTACTACACAATGTGATTAGTAAGGGTTAATTATGATAGCTTGATTCTCAGCTATCTATCCAGTTCGAAGTCGACCAAATTTGTGTCGTGAAGGAAAGCTAACTCTTAATATATTGATATTTAAATGATTGAATGAATTACTCGAAGGACCACCGTATTTTTACTGAAAAGGGAAACAGATAAATTATGCAAGAAAAAGGACTGAGATACCAGTGCCTGTGGATAATGTAATCATCAAGAATTATTGCACACAGAGATCACACTAACGTGATGCATCAAATGAACAAATTTGACAGTGTCTGCAGTGCAGATTAAGGTTTGCCAAGAAAACCTTATTAATTCAACGTTTTCTGCACTAAGAGTTAGTGAAAATACTTGCATTAATTTTGTTTGAGCTGTTTAATTCTCGTTTCTGCTTATTACTGTAGGAGCGCAGCACGAACAAATTTGCAAACTTACCAATATGTAAGTGAATCTACAGAGAACTAATAACCTGTGAAACGTTTAGGTTGGGAAAATGTTACAAATTATCTTCAAATAGGATTAATAGTAGCAATAATTAAATTTCCAGCAACCTTAGCTTTCCCATCGTTTAATGCATTACCATTAGACCATAAGAATTGTTACCTAACATGCTTAATGAGCTCAATATAGCTCAACCCTGAGTTAGCGTAACAATTGAGCGCTTTAATGTTCCCCCATGCTAATACGAGCACTGCTCGCCATGATAATTGAACGATACAATGCTCCCCGTGGTAATTCAAGCACTGCTCACCAGAGAATCTGCATAGATTCCGTGCTTAGCTATTCTTCAAGAAGGATCTCGCACTAATAACCCAAGCTGATCCTACAGCTCTCCTGTGAATTAAGGTAATAATTGAGCGCTTTATGAGCACTGCTCACCATGATAGTGGAGAGCAACAATGCTCCACCTCGTTAATTCGAGCTCAATATACTGTAGCTCACCCTGTTAACGAGCTCAATATAGTTCACCCTGTTAACAAGCTCAATATAGCTCATCCTGTTGACCTTGCAATTATTATTGCTTACAATTTAGCTAGTAACTCTACTAAGAATTAGTGAGTTATCACAATTAGCTCAGTCCTCTACTTAGGTAGGTTAGAAATTTAAACCATCTATTTAGGGACTTTAGTTAGTGTCAACTGAGTACCAGCCTAGTCTGTACTCACAATTGAATACAGTTGACTACTTATAGAAACTGATTTAATAAATTCAATTTCACATCTAAAGGTGAGGATGTATTAAAGAGTTTCCAGTGTCAAGCCTATGAGCTGCAATTCAGTTAGCTCATAAGTCAGAATGACTAGGCTACTAATCTCACTGTCGACTCAGAAAATCCTTGATTTTAATGAATAACATTTTCAGTTCTCTAATATTACATATTATTATTAGCTAACAGATATTAATGTATTGTGCGGTATTGGAAATGTTACTCAGATCATCCATATATGTATTGTGCAGTCTATGGGTTAATCAGGTACTGTTGACAAAGAACATTGACAGAGTAGCAAGTACAAATGGTGTCGGCCTTTTGAATTCTATGGTGCTTAGGCTTGAGATGTTTCCACCAATGACAGGCTTTCTATGCCTGACATTACCTGAAGAAGCAGCCCCAACTCGAATTTTGGCACCTTGTGTAGTAATGTTAGACCAGGGCTGGGAGTGGACCTTCAATGTGTGGTTATGTTCAATAAACAAAGCAGAAGATATGCTGATTATACACAGAAATCACAATAGCGTGATGCATCATATGAACAAATCTACAAGGGCCGATTTGGATTTGTGGATTCGATGCATCACACTATTGTAATTTCTGTATGTAATGAAGTAAGGGCAAAGAGGTAGAACAGCTTATTGATAGAGCTCGAGTGCATGAGGGAATTGTGTAAAACGCTGGTTTGTCTCGCGGAGAGGCTGCAGGATCCAAGTAAGTTCAGTAGAACTTCTGGTTGCATTTCTTTTGACCATGTCGTAGCTCAGTCGATTAAGGCAGCGTCTGGGATCCTCTCAGACGTAGGTTCGAACCCTCGTCAAGGACCTTGTGGATTTGTTCATATGCTGATTGTTTTATCTCCAGCATGGTGAACTGAGGATAAGAGACGTCCAAAAACTATAATACATACACTAAGTTCTTACTTTTACACACATATTTCAACACAGTCTTACATAAACACTTTCACTCAAAATTTCACACACAAATAACATATTTTGCTATTAATTCATTGTTTGAATGTTTTTGCCATATACTGTACTGTATGTGTGAGGCACCAGCAAGTAACATGGTTGCTAAGCTCAGTAATCGAGATTCCGTGCTAATAAAAGGATGGTAAAACTTTTTCATGATTTTTACTGAATTAAAGTGGTAATGCAATGAATATTTGACAGAAAGGTAATAGCCTTTGAAGCATAGGACCCCTATGTAGGACACTTCTCCATAAACTGGTCAGTTTAACCCTTGGGTCGCTTAGATAGTGGGTTGAGTGTTTATTTTTCTTGGTTTGGGTAGTTCATCTTGGTAATCTGTTGATCTATGATTCCCACAAGCTTCTAAAAAACATGAACTGTTAGGAAAGGCACTTATCCCTGGTGTGTTGAAAATATCACTGGGAACCTGATGTGGTCATGTGATGTTAGAGGTAGGCTGAAAGGAGCTACCAAGGGGTGTACACCAAAAAATACGAGTAAACATACTTCTGAAACATCCTGTATATAAATCTACAAGAATACATGAGAGACTTCTAAATAACAAATGATAAAATAAAGGAGTTAGACAAGTTTGTATATCTGGATTTTAATTGGCATATACAAAATATAATATTAAAATAATAAATGCTTATTCTATGATTCAGGAGTAAAATAATCATTTACAGATGATGAGTCACAATAACGTGGCTGCAGATATGATGGCCAAACCACACATTAGAAAGTGAAGAAAGTACGACGTTTCAATCCGTTCTGGACCATTATCAAGCCGTGTGGCTTGATAATGGTCCAAGACGGACTGAAACGTTGTCGTTTCCTCACTTTTTTGATGTGTGGTTTGGTCATCAGTATTTAATCTAGCTTGTAACACATTTACTAAACTACTATCATAACTAAAATTTGTAGATATGGCCACATTATGTAACCAATTTATGATAGCTATGTCAAATTAATTAGAATATACAAATTTTCAAATGACTTGGTTTTGCCATGTTGATTTTATGTGAACACTCATGTTTGTTTGGAAATGCTGTTTTCAATTTGGAGGGTCAGTTTTCTTTGAGCATAAGTAAGGAAAAGTGTTTATTCATAAACTTGAGTGATATTTAGAAACTGATTAGCATCTTTAACCTTATTACATGTCAATGGGTTAATTTTCAGGCAAATATACAGAGGAGGTATTTGTAGAATCATTAAATTTTTTCATCACATTTAATTGTTGACAAAATATTCAATCTCAACTTTAGCACCACATCGAGTTTTACCTACAAAATTTACACCCTCATGTTCAGTGTTAACTGAACTAACTGCCGATGCAGTTGTTATCAAAGATTCTTTAATTGATAATGTGACGGTATAGGTCTGGTCAGAGTCAAGGGGAACGGGTCGCCTAAACTGGCAATTAACACCTCTCCAAGTTCCTTTGGCAATTTTCTCATTGGAAGAAGTTTGAACAGTTACATCTCCTTCTTGAAGACTTGAAATGCATGGAGATGAAATCCTTATTAAAAAAATTGGTCTTGATGTCTTAAAATCTTTAAGCACTTCAGTGCAACATGTGGAGTAATATACAAAATTGAGATTCACACCATCATTAAAGCTACGATCATAGACAAGGCAAGATTTTGTTATACGTTCTCGTGGTTTTGCAGCACGGAATGAAACAAAGTCTGGCAAATCTATGGAATGTGCACCTTCAATATTTTGCAGAATAGCCACACACTCACCATTAGACAGAACACCAGAGGGCAGTATATATCTAACAAATTGGTCAGATGTCATTAATAAAAACCTCACAAAAGGGAGGAAATCCACTACTACCTGGCGCAGTGATGACACAAATGGCTTTTCTGTATTACATTTGACTTGTGATGCTGCTTCTCCTTCTATTTCATTTTTACCATTGTCAGAAAGTTTCTTGGCTGAGCTGTCTCCATCATCCTTTGTCTTGTCAGCAGTACAATAACTTATCTTGTTTTCGAGCTCACTTCTTAATGTTTCACATTTTTCAGCAGTTAATTGTGCTAAGCCCCTGTTTTGAAAATAGAATATATACATGCATTAAAAATATACCTTAAAATTAAAATAGAATTGCTAAAAAATTAAAATAGAATTGCTAAACTCTTAAACTACGCATCGCATACATATACGACGAGAACTGATGGCACCAGGAGTTCAATTTCTCAAACTTATTCAAATGCTTTCCAATTTTCTGTGCATAATCTACTAGCAAATCCTGCAACTTTGTCTAAATGATCACAAATGTAACTTGAAAAATAAGAAAATAAAAAATAATTATAAAATTGAATATTGAAAACTTTGGATTTTCAAATCAACTACAAAAAACCAGCGTTGAATGTAATGAAACGCCATTTTCTGGGTGAGACCCGGAGGCGCCCCAGAGCTTTACCAGGCTGATATGCTAATGTCAGACTTTGGCATCAGTCATGTGTATGGAGTTCTAGGGCCTACCGGGGACCACGGCCAGAACCTGGCCCCCTCAGAGAGGCAAGGGGAGCAATGGCCTATAGAAACCCCAGTGTGGTTGGAAGCATTCTATGTCTGCGATCGACCGGGTCAAGCATCCAGAGAGGTAAGCATTCTAAAACAAACCCCTATTCTGGTGAAAATTGCTACCTAAAGCCGAACTAGTGGATAGAACTCCCCAACAGAAAACAAGCAAACTAGTATGACATCACATGTCACCGCGCCGCTGTCTGCGCAGTTCCCCCCTCCCCGTGAGGGGGAAGGGGGAGCCCCAGACCTCCCACGCCGGCTATCCACCCATCAGTTCTGAGCCTGGATGTCAAAATACACAAAAACCGCCGACCGGAAGGAGGGAGGGTTGCCGGGGAGCCTCCGGGTCTCACCCAGAAAATGGCATTTCATTACATTCAACGCTGGTTTTCTCGGGGAAGCCCCGTCGGCTCCCCAGAGCTAACTATCCACAGAGGAAGGTCAAAGGGACGGAACCGGGAGGCGGACACCACGCACCCCCCACGGAAGCGAGACAACCAGCAGCAAACGCCAACCCAAGGCGCCACAGCCCCGAAAAGTCCCGGGAACAACACGAGAACAACGAGAAGCAAGGCCCCCGTACGAACACCAAAAATCCATGCCCGAATGACCGCAAGGACACGTCGCTCAGACGGCAACGAGAGCAGCGAAGCCACGAACGCCACAGGCATGAGGAAAAAACACAAGCAGCTTAGCCACAAGAACACGGCTGACAACCTGGGACACCATCAACCGCGAACCGGGAAGAACAGAACCGGATCAACGCAAAACGCACCCCGGACACAGATGCCGTGTCACGCAAACAACAGTGGAGGGCCGCCACTGAACACAAAACACGCTCGATCAACCAAGCACCAACAAACCATGGACCCCTCCAGAACGCAGCAGCCCCACCCCGCGCCAGAAAAGGTGGAGACTGCCGCCACCGAACAACCAAAATGCTAAAACCGAAGGAGCAAGAAAACTCAGCGATCCGACCCCCAGAGGCAAATGCCAAAAGGAAAAAGAGCCGATGAAAAAACAAACCGGAACCGAAGGGGCACTACCAACCGAGGAGAAGACAGAGCACGCTGACCAGAGACCAGGACGGTGCAAGCGGCGCACGAACAGGCCAGAGGTGAAACGACGCACAAGACAGTTTACTAACGGTGCAGAAGCAACACTAAGACCGAAAGCAAGCCGAAGTGACTCCACCAGCATCGCACGAAAAGAGGCGACAGTATGTGGCAAGACGACGGCCCCCAACCCCCACCAGAAAACCAAGCCAACACTAACAAGAGGAACCACCTAAGAAGGGACAGGAAAAGGAAGGACCGCCAAAATACCCCATACTGCCGCCAAGAGAAGTACGCAGGTGGGACACCTACCACGAAGCCACCCGACTACCAACCGGAGGCGAGACCGCGAGGCAGAACGTAAGCAGCCCCGACAAGGCCCCTCCGAGCCCAGGAAAAGGCGGAGCCGCGGGAAGGTCTTGGGCGCGACCACCGAAACCCAGTCGGCACAAGGAGATGGAACATCTGCCGAACAGAAAAACTCCCCAAAGCAAGCAAGCCCGCCAGGAGTTCAGAAACGACGGGTCCGACACGAGACATCACGAGACCCGGAAAAACCAACCGGCAGGGCAAGCTAGGAAACCAAAGGCGGAAGGGTTGCCGCCAGAAACAGTACCCGAACCAAGGGGTACGAGCAACTGCAACAGACCGAGACAAAGAAGCACACCACAGGACACAGGCTGAAAAAAGTCCAAGAAGCCAAGGAACACACGCAGAACACCCCTGCAGCAGAGGAGGAAACAAGGGAACGCACAAGGAAAGGAAGTGGTGGAAACCGACCACCCCCCCTAACATAGCAACAAGTGCAGGCAAAACCGACCAAAGGAGATGCCAGGAAAACGACTGGGGAGAGGCAGGATGAAAGAGCCGAAGCACAAAAAAAAAAACAGGAAAACAACCAGGGGTGGACAATCAGGCAGGGACAGAAAAACCCCACGCACATGAGAGGGACAAGCCAGGGACCCGAAGACCAATAAAAACAACAAGCAAACCCCCATATGCAAACCCTAGGCACAAAACAGCAGCAAAGTGCCACACCACAACTGGATACAGGAACAAGGACACGCCACCGCGAAACACGGTACCAAAGCACACGTGCAGCAGCAGCAACAGGCACCACCGCAACATGCAACACGTAAATAGCAACTCGCTTCTTCAAAGGCAGAGAACGGAGCAGGGAGACTCCAGACAGGGCCAACGGAGACACGAACCCAGCAGGCCCAGAAACCTGCACACCAAGCGACCGACGGTGGAGAACCCTGCTCGATACCTGCTGGATGGGGTACTGGGAGCTCATTTACACCCCAAGCCCGGCCCGAGGCTAGGCTAGACCGGCCAGAGGGTGGCCTACCAGGCAGCTGCTTGGAGCGGCCCACAGGCCCACATACCCCCCACAACCAGGATGGGCCGGAACTTCTATTTGAAAACAGGCTAGTGTGCCCCGGAAGTCCACAGACGTACCGGCAATAAGGCGTATGCTTGCAAGTAGGTCGTGTAACAACCGCAGACCTCTGATGGTTATACATTGTTTCCCAATTGTGCCTATAGAACCACTGCACTCCACTGGTACTATCCCGAAAGTTCTTCCAGATAGGCGGGACCCAAGAGCCAGAGCTCAAACCCTGCAAGCACAGCAGGAGAGCCCTACCAGGTGAGCACATAACCAGCCCCACAACCCACACACCTCATAACATGAAAAAGGGTGGGTCCCCTGAATGACTCTAGCATGGGTTGGACATGCACATGAGTGGGACTGGAAGGGTTGAAAAAAGGGACAGTCACTGGTGTGCGAACGGTCTCAGTCGTACAAAAATATACCTAAATAAAGACAGGTATATAAACAACTCCACATCCAGCGCCTGGCCAAAAGACGCCAGACCGCAGAAACCCACCTGTAGAACGGAGGCACGAACGTGACACGACTCAACCGTGCCCAGAAGATTCTGGGAGCACCGCCAGGTGAAGACGCCAGAGCTGGACCCACAGGAGAGCAGGGTAGAGGCGGAGGAGGCGGCCCACACCCATGACACAAGGAAAACCTCGGCGTCCTCCCCACAGCTGGAAACCAGGACACCCTTGGAGCGAAGGGGCACATACCACAGCAAGGGAGAAGAGCGAGAGGCGAAGCACTTGAGGAAAAAAGGGCGCAAAACACCAGCACTAAAACACACTGCCCAGACCAAAACAAACTCCACGGCGCATGCGCATGGCACGCTGGCTGAATCGCACAACCTTCTCTGCAGGAAGGCGCCAACCAGGACTACTGCATTAGAAAAGTAGCCAAAAGAGGAAGCAGGAACAACAAAACCAGCCAACGAAGTGAAGACAGAGCCCAAAAAGGCACCCAACCAGGCCACAAGCAGCCCAACAGGACTACAAGTAGCCCAACAGGACTACAAGTAGCCCAACAGGACTACAAGTAGCCCAACAGGACTACAAGTAGCCCAATAGGGCTACAATTCAATTCATTCAAATTCAATTCAATGTATTCAAAAGGTGACACCCCTAGGGTCAACACTTGCAGCAGAGGAGCTCCAGCATATTTCAACATTCCTAAGTATTGTAGTACAGGTTGATGGTAGTGAGTGGTGTCCCAGAGAACATAAAATTATAGTGCTCTTGAAAAATAGGCGAGATAACAGGAAAGTGCTAAGGGAAGTGAAAAATCGGATGAGAAAAAGTTGCCCTAGTGTTTACAGTGCAGAGAAGAACATTCAACATGGCCACTGGCAAGGGGAAAAACAAAACAGAGCTTGATTTTGAGGGATTCAATGAAGAAAGCATTGATATTAGTAGTCTACATAACAAGTTGGTAAATTTAGATACTATAGTGAAGTCTCATGTAGAAATAATTAGTAAATTGAAAGAAAGTAATGACCATTTGAATAGCAAAGTTTTATGTCTTGAGGGTTTAGTGAAAGACTTGCGCAAGGATAAGAATCAATTGGAAACAAATTGCAAAGCCATGGAAGAAGAAAATAAACTCTTAAAAATAGCTTTGGAAGAAGTTAAAGTAAATTTAAACATAAATGACTACAATAGGTTAGGCAAGGAAATTCAACAGGAGAAACAGCTTTTGTCAGCACAGATGGAGGAAGTTACACAGGGAATAGAACAGTGCAAGAAAGATATGCAACTCACTTATGCACAAGTGGCCAAGGAGAAGGAAAAAATAGAAGAAGCAGTAAAGGAAGCCAAACACTGCAGCAACCAAGATAAAACAAACATTAGGCTGGAAGTGAGAAAAGAATTGGCATCTAACCCGAAGTTGGTGCAAAACACAGTTGATCGGAGTAAGTCCCTGATCATTTTTGGCTGCGAAGAAAAGGCGATAACATCTAGGTCAGAAGGAGCTGTAGAAGAAGCTAAAGTAGTAGATAAAATTGTTGGCCTCGTGGAAGGTCTTACAACCATAGAGAATGTGTGCGACTACAGGAGAATAGGCAGATATGTAAAAGGG